TTATTGCATAACTGCTCTATGGAGGCCCAGTGACCGATAGTCTAAAGTGCCTTTAAGTCATAGGTGACAGGGGACGGACATGTGTGCAATGACAAAAATAGACAGATAGATAGATAGAGGTAAATGAAAGGATTAATCCAGTTTTCTAATGGGTTATTATACAGTTGAAACAGGTTTACTTGACTAATGAGGCTCAATGAGATTTTGGCCAGTGCAGCACTGTGTGACAGAGCTTATAGCCCTGGATGAGAATCAAATGAACAGATGTGCTCTAGCTTACAATGTGCAGTGATCTGAACAGTGCATGCTGCAAAAACTTCACTTTCTAAAAACTGATCTCACTGACCTCAGAAAAACTGATCTCAGATCACTTCAAGCTGGTGTGTCTGTATAGTGCATTATTTGTTTGTGTATTGTGCCTGCAATTCATATAATCAATGTAACGTTATCTACGTATGTATCCATTAAACACAGCACTGATAGATGACACATCACATGACAGCATACTAGAACCTGATTGATAGCTCTTATATATACAGTACGTTATATACATATACACTCTCCAAGTATCTGTATGCTCACTTATATTCTGACTGGGCCTCAGGTAAAAGTGTCAGTGAGTGTTGATACACTGATTTATCATCCGAGCATCATGCCCGGTTTAGATAATATCTCCGTACCTCATCCTCGCGTTCGTTTTTGAAGCACAGACACGCCGCTCGCCGCTTGAATCCTTCCCGGTCGAACGTCCGAGTCTGGTTCGGTTTGAACTTCATGCTGAAATCCCGTCGGTGACGGTCGGTCCTTCCGTAGATTTATCCGACCGGTCAGCAATGCTCCGTTAGTCACTGGAGAGGCGAACCAGTACCGGGCTGGACCGAGCCTACGGGTTTTCGTTGGTTTTCAATCCAGTTTAAATAATTCCTTCGCGTTTAGTCAAGCAAATTCGATTCTTTAACGACGACTCTGCATTCCGCTGTCCATTCCCAGGTCAGAATATCTCGTTTTTCCCCGGTATATATATATATATATATATATACGTGCGTGGTGGGCCGGGTGCGAAATTACTAACGCTAGTACGTTGACGGCTCGGTGCCTAATATTCATGAGTTAAACCGTCAGCATTGGAAGGTTACCAGGCAACGTCAGCATATATTATTCAACCGCGTTCACCATTGGAAGGCAACGCTTCAACGTCACCAAAAACTAATTAATATACATGAGCGACACCTCGGCCGTAGTAGGATTTAAAGACTTCCGTCAGGCGGATCCGTGAACTGCGCTCACACTCATAACTGCGTGGCCTCCTGTCACATATACTGCAGGTAGATATGACATAATTTGTCTTATCTTTTATTATTAATTTATAAATAGTTGTTTAGACAAGACACATACTTTGAGTATCAGATAATTCCAGTGTTGGGGGTAACGCATTACAAAAAACACAGATTCAGTATTCCTCAAAATGAATAAAAATAATGCAACTCAGAATATGACGCAAACCTGCAATAATTAAATGTTAAACAACACAAATATACTTTATGTACTTAATCCCATTCTATTAACCAATGTATTTGCTTCTGACCTTCGATGATCCAGTTCAACCATACTAATAAGCAAAAATTAATCTAGACAAACATTTGTGTGTCTTTTTTTACTGCTGAAGTGTGTTGAAATTTCTTCTTCTGCATTCTACTGTACGGACGTAAATGTACTTTCCCTTCAGCCTGAGGCTTATTCATTTCACTTTTGGTGTGAAAAGGCTTTTATATTTGCCAAAAATAGAACTTTTTTATTTTAAAAACAAAGCAAGTCCTGTCCAGATTTAAAAAGTAACTTAACACATTACTTTCCATAAAAAGTAACTAACGTAATTAGTTACTTTTTTATGGAGTAACGCAATATTGTAATGCATTACTTTTAAAAGTAACTTTCCCCAACACTGGATAATTCACGGTAGAGGTTATCCATAGACATATCCGTTGATCACAACAAATATAAATCAGTTCTGGCAAGATTCATCTAACAAGATTTTGAACAAATGTTCTTCCAGTAACGTTAATAGAACGTTCGTTTAAAGTTATTGTTATTTATTTTTAATAACGTTCTCAAAACGTTTGCACAATTTATTTATAAATTGTTGATATAACGGTTTCCCCCCCGAAACGTTAGTTGTATGTTTGTCTAATGTTTTTTAAATGTTACCACTCACGTCTTGTTTTAGAACGTTCCGAGAAAGTTCAAAAGTAACGTTCCGGAAATGTTCGCATAATGAAAAACATGGAACGTTTGCTTAATGTTTTCTCTAACGTTTGCATAACCAAAGAAAAAAATGCTTGTAAAACTGTTAAAAAAAACTGGACGTTTTGAACGGTAAGATGTTTTTGTTAGCCGATTATCAACTTGTGTTCCGACAAAATATGTAGATATTATGACAAAAAAATACATGAATGCAGAAAATGCAGAATGCATATTAAATAAATACTGTGCACCATTCCCAACCAGCTGCATATACAGCAGTGCATTAACGCATTTCATGTCAAATAAAATAAAATAACCATGGTAATACCATTTGTACATTTTTCTCTAATGTAGTGCTGTTAATGACGACCTGGAACACTGGACTTTGGCATACAGATACTGATCTGATTGAATTATGGTGATGACATTGTTTAACTTTGACAAGAAAAGATTTTGACAACATTTTTTTCTGTTATCACTGTGCAAACAGAAACAGTTTGGGAGAGAAATGTCATGAGCAGGTTTGAGTGAAACTAGAAGCACTTTTAATGATAAACACTCTTAATGATACTAGTTTTCAAGGTAGGTTTAGTTTTAAAATCATTAGTGCAATTGGACATTTGACTCAAAACCAAAGAGTTACTGGGGTATAGACCTGTGACAACTTGCCCTATAATATTATCACCAATAAAATGATAGAGAATAATTGTTCTTGGGCAGATTTTGTAACTAACCTAAGACAGACATCACCGCACATGCCTGCAGTCGTCATGTCTTTAATGAGTGAATTACAGACATCTGGTTAGTGGGGAATGCTATAAAATCTGTTGCCTTAGCTTAGTGCTAACGTGTCATGCTGACGTAGAATACAACCTCAACTCAACATGGGCCAAACTCGTTAAGCACATTAATCAGACAACAGCACAATGGAAATAAATGTTTGCCATGGGCTCAACAGATTTTAAGACAGAACAGAGAAGCGTGAATCTGTTCACGGCCTTAATGAGATTACATGGATCTGATCGGAGCAACAGCTGCCACACACTCACTGTACGTGACTTTTAATTCACAATTATTGAGCTTCACCAGAGCTGTTTTGCAGAAACTTCATAATGAATATGTACGTTTACTGGTCAGAAAAACTCATCTGCCAGCGCAAAATAGTAAATAGTAATCAGTTCTATTCGTGACCATGTACAAACACTGACATTATTACAAGTTATGCTCCCAAGGTCTATAGAAATGCCGTAATGGTAGCCATTCAGACACTGCAGACATAACAAATGGCTCATTAGAAATGAGAAAACAGAAACAAGACACTGTTTTGATTGCTCTCGATGTCCCAATCCTATAAACGGCCTGCAGACACACACAAACATTCAGGACGGAGAAATGTGGAAGTCAGAAATAACTTCAGCTGCAGCTCTGCACCACTGCTGTTCAGACGGTTATATAACGTGCTGTTTGTTAGAAGAACCGAGTCATGTGGAACAGAAGATAGATGAGACATGACAGACCCACTGTCCTGCGGTTGATAGTTTGTTTCATAAATCCAGCAATGAAGGTCTCAGAGGCTCAAATACAGTGAAAGTCTGGGATTAAAAGTCCCATTTAAAGGGAGACAGAACTCCCTTTATATACTGTACTGAAGAACTGACTTTTCATTTATTTCAAATGGGGGAATGTAATTTGTATTTGTATTTTAAGCTTATATTTGTATAAAATTCAGCAGCTAAGTAGATACACCTAATGTTAATTTTTAATTACATACCATGTTTGCTCTAAATTGTAAAAAAAATAAAAAAGTTGTCCATGTATTGCACCATCTAAACATTATTTTTCAGATGCCTCTGCCACCTAATTTTTTGACAAAGTAATACTGTGACAAGTGTAATTTAATCAACAAATTCTCTTTTGTATAGACAAATATCGATCGGAAACATGGTTCAAAGGGGCTTCTCTCAAAACCAGATCAATTCTTTTCTATTTTATTTGCAGAAGCAAACTTTCACGTTAACACACTAGCAAGGCAGTACAGCCCTGTTTAAGCATAATTCATAGTCGTTGAGATTAAACACCTGCAGTGTTTGTATGCATGCCATTCAGACTGTGAAATTATTTGACATAAACTGTATTTTCTAGCATCTGCTGAGAGGTTTCAGGCTACGATCTATGGAAGCTTGTTTCCACCACAGGATAAAAAAGGGTAATTGTGACATTTTAATCTCAATTCTGACTTTTTTTTCCTTGCAATTCTGAGTCTAGATCTCACAATTATACAAATTTTTCTTGCAATTCTGAGAAGTCCAAATTATGAGACATGAACTCACAATTGTGAGAAAAAAGTCAGTATTGTGAGATATAAAAATTGCAATCACTTTTTACTAAATGCAAACTCAGAATTCCAAGAAAGTTTTAAAATTCGCTAAAATGGTGAGATATAAACTCAGAATTCCACAAAAAAAGCCCAAATTGCGAAATGCTAACTCAGAATAAAAAAATAAATAACAAGTGTCAAAATTGCGAGATGCGAGCTCAGAATTCCAAAAAAGTATCAAAATTGCAACGTAAACTCAAGAATTCTCAGAAAAAGCCAAAATTGTGAGATCTGGAAATTTGAGAAAAATATTGTGAATTCAGAATAGTGAGATAAAATCTATAAACCATTATCTTTTTTAATTCTGTGGCAGTAACAAGCTTCCATAACAATCAGATTCAAACCTGTAAAAAAAACTCAGAAATTAAGAGAACAAACCAAATAACATAACAAAAAATATTTTTACTAAAACTGAACATTTACAGATTTAATTTTCCCAGACAAGTCATACAGATTCCACTTCAGCCGAAACACAAACCTTTACACCCACACTCACACAAGTTTCGCTTGGAATACAACAACGTCAGAGCAGGTTCTGGCAATGATATAGACGGGTTCACAACAGGCGTTTAATGAACTGAAGAGTTTCACAGAAAGGAAATAGTAAAAAAAAAAAAAAAAGTTCACATCATTTTGTCCCTGACCGAGAAGCAGCATATATGCATCCCACGTTTAACAGGCCCTCCCTCTACACCCCGTAACAGAAAAATTAACTAACAAAAATGAACCATCCACCTGGATGCAGGGCCTGGAGCCTACACTCAGTTTCCAGTGAAATCCACTGCGCTAATGACTGTAATAGAGACTGTACTACACATTCTGACAGGGTCCAGTGTAGTGACCACGCAAGGGATGCTGGGAAACCCCAGGCCATCACCAGAAGCAGAGAGATCATATAGTGGAGCGAACATTAGTTCTGACCAGGAACACACCGACACTCACCCAAAGGCCTGCAGTAGTTGCTTTTGAATCATGTGTTTTTGTTTTGTTTTTTTTCGCTTAGTTTTAATTTGTCTGAGAAAGTGTCCTTTGAATGCGAAAGAAGACAGGAGGAGATTGTTCCACTTCTCTCACTTGATGCCACCGTTTCCTTCTTCTAAACTTCAATGTTGTTGCCGGCATAAAGCCTGGTCCATGTTCGGGCTGTGAGAGAGAGAAAAACACAAAGACCCTCCAGGACATCAATTAAGATCATACTGATTTGATTTGGGTCAATCTCATAAAATCATAATACAATAATGAGAATAAAAAAAAAAAAAGACAAAAAACAAAACATTGAGTGCAAAAAAAAATCTTAATGGTCCTAAAATAGATTTCATCATTTTTTTTTTCTTTTGATTTCTGAGTGAAATGTGTGCTAAACCTGTTTATGTGAGATTATTCCACTTTTCTTTTTATTTCAATATGGAAGCCAATTTCCACAGGAAAAAAAAAATGAAAAAATTGTAACTGCTCACAATTTTTACTTTTTCCCCTTACCATTTAGAGTTCACATATCACGATTCTTATTTCTCGCAATTTTGAGAAAAAGTCAGTTGCATGACATAAACTCACAATTCTGAGAAGAAAGTCATTGTAAGATAAAAAGTCACAATTACCTTTCTTATTCTGTGGTGGAAAAAAATGTAATAATAAGAATGATAATAATAAAGATGTACACTCAAAGTCAGAATCGCACAAGATTTAAACTCAGAATTCTGAGGGAAAAAATTTTATTACAAAAATGACCAAAAAAATAAATAAAAAAGGCATTTCATTATTTGTTCTTTTGATTTTTGATGTGAGCTGAAGATAATTGCAACTTTTTATTTCACAGTTCTAACCTTTTTCACTCACAATTCAGAGTTCATATATCACAATTCTGATTTTTCACAATTTTGAGAAAAAAAATCAGAATTGAGATTTTTTTTTTAAATATCACAACTACCCCATTACCTTTTTTTATTTTTGGTAAAAACAAACAAAAAACAACAAAAGAGTCAGAAATTGCAAGATGTGAACTTAGAATTTCGAGATAAAGTCAGAATTGCAAGATTAATAAATGAGTAAATAATAAATAAATAAATAAAAAATGACAATTTATCTACAAATTCTTCTATAATGTGGGATGTTTTTAAAGCTTTTTTACTGGAGAAGTTTTTAAGTGATGATAATAGTGAATGTAAATCTGAAGTAAATACATAACAGTTGGTTTAAATTTATTGTTTAATTTAATGCTTTGTGAATATGGTATTTACCCACCAAATAAATGAAGTTTAGGACATCATCTAACTCCTTAATTTCAGACACATCACAGTGATTCAAACAGAAATATTACCAACTAGGGATGTAACGGTATGAAACTTTCTTATCACGATTATAGTGACCAGAATGATCACGGTTATCGGTATTATCACGGTGTTGTTACAATTTGCTGGAAATGTTCAAAAAGTACTGACACACAAATCATTTCACCAAGTTTTACATTTAAAATCAACAAACAACAAATAAAATGGTTATAGTGATAATTAAAATATGAAACGGTAATACTAACCGTGGGGTATTTTATCACGATTTATCGTCAAACCGGTAATCGTTACATCCCTAATATATATATATATATATCTCATAGGTCTTACCTGTTTCAATGGCTTGAGCCTCGTTGCTCTTCCACTGTTCAGCGACATCATTAGCCAGCGGATCATCAGGGTTCGGAGCGCTTAGTAGAGCCTGGATAGAGAGCAGCACTGTACGGATCTGAAGAGCTGGAGACCATTTATCTACAAGAGAGAAGAGACAGTCGTGCTACCTTTAACCTTATAAAGCCTAGAGCATCATATTTCATACATAAAGGCCGCTCTAAATGATCAAAACTTTGATGAAAAACAGTATTTCCAGATGAACACTTACTGGACTGAAGCAGCTCGGATTTAATTGATTCTTCATCAATCATTTTTTAGAGTCTCAAATCTGATCATCAGGATTTCACTGTTGATCTTCACAAGCCTCCAGAACATCTCACATCTTTTGAGAAGCGTTTATTTCTTCATCTCTCAGTCAGCATTGGATTGCATTGCATTATGTTTGGATCATTTCAATCTCATCTTACCAAGACATATTATTGGAGATATAGAGTGACGACTGATATTTATAGCATTTTATATCTGCTCTACTGTTATAAAGATCTTATATGTTTTACATTACAAGCATCAGAATCTCATCATATAAATATCAGCATCTGCACCAAATGACATATTTTTGCTCAGTTTGAGCCTCTGAATAAAATTTAGCTGTTTTTTCCTCCATATTCTCACTATATCAGACTATATGAGCCATAAAACCCTGATGGATCAAATACGATACAAATCATGAAACATATGCACATCTATTTTATGTATTCTGTCTAAAGGTTTAATAAACTGTTCTTTAAAAAAAAGAAAAAAAAAAAAGATTTTTCTTACTATTATTTCATATGTCAGGCTTTACAAACACTATAATCACCTTTCAGGATGTCCAGACAGATCCTGCCCAGCTTGTCCACATTGGGATGGTAGATTTTGGTCATGAATCGGACCTTGGGAGCAGCCATGGGATACTCCTCTGGGAGGAACAGCTCCAGTTTGAACGTCCCGCCCTCAAAGGGCGAATCCTGCGGCCCAGCGATCACCACGTAGAAATATCGAGCGTTTCCTTCATCAGGCTCCGCTCTGATTCCAGGCACAGGCTCAGCCAACAAGCGCTGCGTCTCCTATTGAAACACACACATGTGAAAAACACAACGCCAAAGTCATGGGTTCAAAATTCGAATGCATGAACTGATCACACACTCTGGAGCCCTGTGCAGTACAGTATTTATTTATCCTCAGTTGTTCAAATCACGGTAATCGAATACGGTTATAGTGATAATTAAAATATGAAACGGTAATACTAACCGTGGGGTATTTTATCACGATTTATCGTCAAACCGGTAATCGTTACATCCCTAATATATATATATATATATCTCATAGGTCTTACCTGTTTCAATGGCTTGAGCCTCGTTGCTCTTCCACTGTTCAGCGACATCATTAGCCAGCGGATCATCAGGGTTCGGAGCGCTTAGTAGAGCCTGGATAGAGAGCAGCACTGTACGGATCTGAAGAGCTGGAGACCATTTATCTACAAGAGAGAAGAGACAGTCGTGCTACCTTTAACCTTATAAAGCCTAGAGCATCATATTTCATACATAAAGGCCGCTCTAAATGATCAAAACTTTGATGAAAAACAGTATTTCCAGATGAACACTTACTGGACTGAAGCAGCTCGGATTTAATTGATTCTTCATCAATCATTTTTTAGAGTCTCAAATCTGATCATCAGGATTTCACTGTTGATCTTCACAAGCCTCCAGAACATCTCACATCTTTTGAGAAGCGTTTATTTCTTCATCTCTCAGTCAGCATTGGATTGCATTGCATTATGTTTGGATCATTTCAATCTCATCTTACCAAGACATATTATTGGAGATATAGAGTGACGACTGATATTTATAGCATTTTATATCTGCTCTACTGTTATAAAGATCTTATATGTTTTACATTACAAGCATCAGAATCTCATCATATAAATATCAGCATCTGCACCAAATGACATATTTTTGCTCAGTTTGAGCCTCTGAATAAAATTTAGCTGTTTTTTCCTCCATATTCTCACTATATCAGACTATATGAGCCATAAAACCCTGATGGATCAAATACGATACAAATCATGAAACATATGCACATCTATTTTATGTATTCTGTCTAAAGGTTTAATAAACTGTTCTTTAAAAAAAAGAAAAAAAAAAAAGATTTTTCTTACTATTATTTCATATGTCAGGCTTTACAAACACTATAATCACCTTTCAGGATGTCCAGACAGATCCTGCCCAGCTTGTCCACATTGGGATGGTAGATTTTGGTCATGAATCGGACCTTGGGAGCAGCCATGGGATACTCCTCTGGGAGGAACAGCTCCAGTTTGAACGTCCCGCCCTCAAAGGGCGAATCCTGCGGCCCAGCGATCACCACGTAGAAATATCGAGCGTTTCCTTCATCAGGCTCCGCTCTGATTCCAGGCACAGGCTCAGCCAACAAGCGCTGCGTCTCCTATTGAAACACACACATGTGAAAAACACAACGCCAAAGTCATGGGTTCAAAATTCGAATGCATGAACTGATCACATGTAAACCCTGAATGCAATGCAAGTCCCTTCAGATAAAAGCATCTGCCAAATGCACGAACGTAAATATAATGATACTGATGAACTTTATTTGGTTTTCAGTTGCATGGAAACAAAATGCACTTAGAAAGTACTGGCAGCTGCATTGAATACTTTTGATAAAGTTTGTTTCTAAAATGCTTTTAAAAAATGTACAGAGGCACTTAGTAGCAAGCAAAATAAATATCTACAAGCAGAACTGCGTGTAAGAAATTATCGGTACTTTTTATAGAGATGTTTTTATGCTCACCTTTCACAGTTCATGACTCCTGTGGCATTATCCGAGCAATTATTTGATTTATACCAGTCTATTATTGTGTTATAATCCATTAAATATAAACCAACGCCAAAATGGCACGCGACTGTGCAAGTGAATTGTGATTGGTCTGTTTAACTGTCAATCAGATGGTCTAAGTGGGCGGTTCTTGGCCGGGAAAAGCTGCAGTGTGGATCAGACTTGCTGACGATCAGAATTCTGGTATTGCAAGATTAGACTCGTGTAGACAAAACACGAACGGTGATGAATCTCTGTGTACTTAAAATTGGCGAACCACATATTTACGACACACAATCTTTCTAAACAATTCAATGCATTTCCTGTTTGCATACACACTCTCATTGCACGGAACATTCTGCTTTCACATAAACACATTTCTAGTGAGATCCGCATCTATGTGTCACACACCCAGAATCTCAGCTGACACTTACATTACTGGCTCTGTAATAAACCCGAAAGAGCTGATGCTGATGCTGATGCAGTTGCTCTTTCTATGAAGGCTATTCCCATATATTTGATGCATGTTTGAAACAGTGAGCGCGCGGGAGCCTCCCTGCTGCAGTGCGAGCACGTGCCGTTTTCTTTCATTTTTAACGCATCGCTTTCGCAGCGCCAACACGTGCCGCAATGGAACGCACAAGAGAAACATTATGGGAGTTATACCTTAATAATCCTGCGGGGCAATCCAGCCATCTCGTTTTATTTATGCGGTTTGCGCCGTGGCCCGGTACCTACTCCTCGCGTTGAAGTCGACAGCGCATGCGCGCAAGTCTTCCGGTAAAAAACGTCATCGTCCGCTCCAATAGGTTTCATGGGAAATGTAGTTTTTCCACTGCTTGTCTACTATTTATTAGTTTGCGTGCATTTCGAATTGTTTTA